TAAAAGCGAATCCTCGTCGCTATTCATCGGTGCAATCCAATGGAATCCATTTAAATCAACAAGCAAGGTCGTATCACGACGATTAATAAGCGTCAAAACTTGCAAAAAATGCAAAAATATTAAAAAATATTTAAAAAATTGCACTGAATTATGCGCATGAAAAAAAGAAAATGATTTCATTCAATGACTAAGTTTTTCTATACNTTTTTTATACATATAATTATAATAATAACACTAATTTTATTTTTGTTTTTTTACAGACGCTGAGCTCGTCGGAGATCGTCGATCTCAAGTACAAAAACGGAGTAGCCATACTCATGATCAACGAAGTATTTCCCGAGGACAAAGGCGAGTACACGTGTCTGGCGACTAACAGCATCGGCAGTGATACGACATTCTGCAAACTGACCGTCAAAGGTAAAAATATTCCAAATTTTATCGACATTTTTACCTAGAAAGTTCAATTTTTATCTATCTCTAGATGAATATTTTATATCAATTTTTATCTATCAATTTGATCTTTCGTCCAATATAGTTTAATTCAATTTAATTTTTTACAATTAAATCGGCTTCTCCATTTAATTTCATTTCTCTTTAATTTTATTGATATTTTATTATTATTTTAGTTTTATTGTTATATTATTTTATTGTGAGTTTTGTTACGAAAGGGATTTTTAAGATTTAAACGATTTTTTACTGAGGAAAGTCGCGGTAGAACTATTGTCGACAACTTCGATATGTTCTTTTTTCAGCCGTGGAGAACGCCGCCGCGAAGAAAAAGAGCGATGACAAATCGCCGAAGATCGTGGATCACCTGACGAGCATGTATGTGAAGGACGGCGAGGCAGTGACGCTCAGCTGCCGAATAATCGGGGCTAAGAAATTCAACGTAGTGTGGCTGCACAACAACAAGGAGATCAAGACCAGCAAAGACTTCCAATACACCAGCGAGGCTAACATTTACAAACTGGTCATCGCCGAGAATTCCCCGAGGATTCCGGCACTTACACGTGCGAAGCGTTCAACGATGCAGGAGAGAGCTACTCGTCGTGCACGTTAAGC